TTTTCGAGATTGTACAGTGTAGGGTTGAAATTGTACCCGCCCTATTTATGCATGTATATGCTGGGATGATGAGAAGATGATGATCTCTCCCACCATTTGGATTGAGAAGTCATGCCTATCCTAGATGCAATGGATGTGGTGTTTGAGGAACTTGTGTCTCCCTAATGTATGCTTTGCATGAACTGTGGTTGTGAGATTTCCCTTACACATGGACCGTGCAGAATTTTTTTAAATTAACTATCTAGATATATTTTTTAAAATATACAGTTCCAAAAATATTTTAAAATAAAACTTACAATTTAATAATTTAAAATATGCACTATCTAGAGTATATCTAGAATGTCAATTTATAGGAATTATTAAAAAATTTAAGATTAAATTTAGACCATCCATATTAAATGTGATATATCCAAATCATTAGTCAAGTGGATTGATTTAACTATTTTAATAAAATTCATATTATAAGGATTATATTTGCATGTCTAAATTAGTTGAATGAATTTATTGATTTATTTCAATTTATTTAAATTCTATTATAAAATAAAAATTAAGAACCTTAAAATAGGGAAAATGACAATAAAGTCCCAAAATATTAATTTTATACCAGTTAAGTCCCAACAAATTCTAAAAGGCCAATCAAGTCCCAAGGTCCTTAAGTGGTATTTTGATGTCACAGAAAAAGACCGAAACACCCCTCTTCAAGTAAAAGCTCGTTTTCTTCTCTACCCGAATGAGTTTCTGTGCGACGCGAAGCTCTATTCTCTGGGTTACATTCTTTGATCCATACAGTGAACGAGGGCTTGGTTGGGCCAGGGGAGAGTGATTTTTTTAGGGGCAGCACACGTAGCCGGCAATTGAGAGTTGAACACTTGAAGGAGAAGAGGGAAACGTTGGCGGCAGTGATAAAGGTGAGGGAAAATCGGTGGCGAGGGCCAAGATTTCGGTGATAACGACAACGGAGAGCCAGGGGCGAGGTCTTTTCTGTTAAGGTTCGGATTTATTTGCCTAAATTGTATTTTTTTGCCTTTATTGTTTGTTGGGACTTGAAGACCTAGATCCCTGAGCTGGGCGTTCATTTTTTTCTGGTGGAAGCAGCTAAATCCCTCCCTCTTTCCTGTTCTGTTTCACGCTATTAGAGGTGTGTGTATATGCATGTTCAGTTTTTCTTTTTTCCTTCCTTTTCAGTTGTTGAAGTCCTGCTTGTGTATGTGTATTGGCTGATTGGCTAAAAGTTTGGTCTGCTTTCTTCTCGTGTATGTAAAAGATTGAAGCTCTCCTCTTCCCCTTCATCGTAAGCTACTTGCTGATCCACAATCGTGTTATCTTAATCTCACATAAGATATTGAACACTGTTTGATAAATTAAATTGCAAGAGCTTGGCAAACAAATGGTCAATGACAATCAAAACATGGACTGTACCTTTAATTATTATCAAGAACAAGACAATGCTGCCTACGGCATTTATTTAAGATAAACTTTTCCAATTTGACATAAATTTAGAATCAATGGCTGTCTGACTCTAAATATTTCCATTGACATGTTTTACATGCCCAAGAAATACTAAAATATTGAAGTCATGAGAAGCAGGTAAACCTAAAATTTAGGGTCACTATTTTGTGCCAATGCACTTACAAATAAACGAGTCTGTTCCAGTGCAGCTAAGTTTAGAATATTTGGACCTCTCATTTGATCTGCAGACGACAATAGAGACTGCAGAATGAATGGTAAAAGCTTACTAGTGTTAATCTTTGATGTTATTCTATCATGATAGTGAACTAAATTTGGTTAATAAAAGTAAAAGCTTGAGAGTTGTTGGAATTGCTTAGTTGTTCATCTCACAAATTTGTCAATGATAAATTCTCTCAAGGTATTTGTAGGAAGGCTTGAAAGAAGTTGATGAAAATGAGATTGTTTAGTTTTCATAGTAGAACCTTGAGGAGTTATCTATGCTACCTAAGAAAGTTTATGTTTGTACATAAATTGTAAAGTTGATCTACCTATTAAAATTGTGCAACATCTAAAGGGAAATTGTTAGACAAAATGATAATTAAGATTTTTGTTTTAAGTTTGTAATAAGAGTTGTGTTAATGATGGTGGTTAAATGCTTACTAGTGTTGTTGATTATTTGGTAGAAGTTGTAGAAGGGTTATTGAAGATTAAGGGATTAATGGGAAATTTCAGGAATTAACAAAGATTTTAAAAATCGATTTTTGGTTTATTATAAGAAAGAAAATTTATAATGACATAAATGTGTTGGTTTATATGCTAGATTAATTTAAAGTACCATTGGAGTAAGCAAGAATGTAATGACCCGAAAATTTTAAATTGAATAAAATTTTCTCGCAATAAAAATTTTATTTGAATAAGTTTTATAACAAGTAGAAGGGGGCAATTTATAAGAATTTATGTTCAGAATTTTCTCAAGGATTCAAGTTCTAAATTTTTCTGAGCAAAAGTTCAATTTTAAAATGAAAGAAAAATATACACACATCTCTTAGGTCTCTTTTTGAATCTGTCTTCACACACCCTTAGAAATCGAATGCCTATGGGGATGATCAAGAAAAGAAACTTTCGTTCTACCGATTTGACCATGAAGAAATTTACTTGATCTGAGTAGACTTTGGGTAGTATGAATCCTCAATGATATTTGAAGGAATTGGGCACAATGGGCTGAATGACGTGATTATAGTTGTTCTCTTTGGATATTACATTTGTGTAGAGCAATGATTTTCATTTCAGTATACAATTTACTGATGCTTGGCTGTGCAAATCTGTTGTGCTTCTTCTTTGCAAATAATTTTTCAATCAATGGAAATGCTGACAATATTTAAGTTCTCTTCACCAACGCATGCAAATATTTTAATGTTCAATGGGTGGAAATAAATTTTCAATCTGCTTAACTTCTTCTGGGAAATTTCGTACAGATGTATCTTTATCAATCTGTTTTGTTTTTTCATGAGTAGTTCAGTGAATTTATCTTCCTCTTTCTTCCTGGACCCAACCTCTCCCCTTACCAACATAAAAAAAACCCCTGCCCCCCAGGGGGGAGGAAACATCGCTCCTCCATTCGAAAGGAGGGTCTAGTCCCCGCCTCTTTATTTGGTGTTGACTGGCAACATTAGGCCATAAAATGGCCAGCTTTAAACAACATCACTCCCACTCCCTGTAACTTAAGGTGCGTTTTTTATGCCTGTTTCCTGTGAGTGTTTATCCTACTGAAGATCCTTTTTTGGATTAGGAATTTAACGCAAAAATAAATAGTTTTGGGAATTTATTGCAAAAAGAGACATTTTTTTAGCTGTCAAAGAAAAGAAGGTAATTTTCTAGGTTTTGTTAGTGCAATCTTTGTTGCCCAAAACTTGTTTGTATTTTTCTCAATTTCTCTTTGCAAAAGTTCAGCTTCTCTCTTCTTGTGGACATGCATGTTTGTTGTGCCCTTTGACCATGAGCAAAGTTGTTAGGCTTTATTAATGAAATTCTGCTTGTTTCTGCTTACTTTCTTTCAATTTATTGGTTTAATTTTAACCAGTGTTTTTTTTGGGACTTGCATCGGTGATAATTAGGTGGGAAGCTTGTTTGTTAGGGCATAAAGAACCAAGAAAATATGGACAACAAGAAAGCTACAACAAAAAAGAAATCTGGATATGACAACTTTAAGAAAGAGTTTCTTAAAAAAATGAAGGAAGATTCAGTGGTCTTATAGAAGCCAATGACTCAATGAGAGAAAGTTAGCGAAAATTATCAAATGCTGAACAAGAAAGATATAGAAACATGGCTTCGTTAGATGGATGAGGCAAGGAATCAGCATCTTGTTCCACGGCAACAGTATCACTAACTTGTATTTATTTTAAATTAATAAGGTTTTTTAGTATGATTGTTATGTATTGTATGGTGTTATATTATTCTTCTTGATTTGTAAGTTTCATTTAATATGCGTTGCTCTCCTGGCCAGTTCAAGGAAGTTGTGGAATACATATCCAAACATAAAAGGTTATGTACTAAGGTCAAGAAAATGGGGTTCCAATCTCTCTTGGATTTTAAATTTACTAAACTACTCAGAAAGTTATGTGAACAAGTAATTGCTGCTTTTGACACACCAACCTCAACACTTGAAATTAGAGGGAAGAAATTAAGTGTTGATAGAAAGGATGTGCACACTATCTTAGGTGTGCCTTATGGTGGGAAAGCTGTTTTTTTAGATGATGACAGCGAAGCATGTCAAGCATTAAAGAAGAATTATCTTGGCAAACCCTTCACTGAGTTGAAGAGTCTGGTAATATCCGGCAAGGCTGAAAATTTTTTTTGAAAGTGTTTTTGTTATTCACTTTAGGAACATTTCTTTGTCCCACAACAAGTACAACTGTTAGTATGAGGAGTATTAAAAGTTTGAGTGGGAAGAAAAATGTTCAAGAATATGATTGGTCATCTTTTGTGTTGTGGAGCTTATCAGAGAAATTTTGACTTATAAGACAGCATTAAGGAGTGGACGAAAGAAGAAGAATGTAGGAGGATGCTTATTTTTCTTACTGGTATAGTCTATTTGAAATCCTTCTATATTTTGTTCTAGTTTATTTGTTATTGATTAGATTATAATTATCCTTGTGGTGCAGATATTTTACATACACCACTTTCTATTAGGCCCAACACTGTCAATAGATGGTGGAACGCTTGTGATGCATTTGTGGAACTAACACATGGTGCAAAAACGGGTTAAGCTGGAAAAAGAAAGCATCCACGATATTCTTTATGGTGGTCAGGCTAATAAAGTGTCTGAAGTTTTACCTCCACTTGCAACGATAACTCACCCGGTATATAAATGTTTATACTTTATTGTCTACGTTTTGGTTTTCACTTACTTAATAAGCTTGGTGTTGAAACTTGGTTAGGGTGTGAGGGAGATATATGAAGACTTTTTGCAATATGCTAATACATTTGCAAGTAAAGTGCTGAAGTTGCAATAAAGTCTTAACCAGCTTCAAATATCTGATAGTAAAGCTATCATGTGGGTTGGCAAACCAAGCGAAGAAGAAGTAGAGGAAGAGGACTATGGAGATAAAAATGAAGCTGAAGAAGATGATGAAGATGGAGACAAGGGCGAAGATGAAGCTAAAGATGCATATGAAGCTGGGGATGAAGATGGGGATGAGGATGAGGATGACGATGGACATGAAACTGCAGCTGGAGCTGGATCTAAAGAAGATGAAGATGAAGGCTCCAATAGTAAGGAAGAAAGTGATGAAAGACAAGATGGTAAGAAGAGGAGGAGAACAGATGAAAGCCCAATGGTTCGGAGGTCTGAGAGGAAAAAGGTTGAGGTAAATTGGTCACCTTTTTTGAAAGAACCAATACAAGGGAGAATTACAAAAGAACAACAAATATATGAATATTGCACTAGGCGGACCAATCAAGCAGAGGGTGAAGAGTAAGTAATGTGATATTACTTTTCGATAATCATGGTGCATTATGATTGATATAATAACACATTTTTTTAGTAGGTGTGTCGTTGAGATGTACGATTACTACTTAACTAGGGCCGAATGCCAAAGTCTTGGTCCTAAAAAATGGATAAGTACAGTGGTATGTCTAATAGTTTTAATTCATTAGTTGCTTAATTAGATAGCACATTGAGTATTGGATGTGATCCTTGTAGGTCATGAGCATGGTCGCAAAAGTGATGGTTGGTGAGCAACTTCGTGAAGGGAAGGTACGGAGGTACATATTTGATTCAGAATTTATGGCCACCCTAAGGGATAAAAAGTTAAGATGGTCTGTCTTTGAGGATGCAAAGATGCTCATGCCCGATCAACTTGGACATAACCTTGGAAATTGTGATTACCTCTTCTTGCCCATGCTTGTGTTCAATCACTGGTTTTGTTATTGTGTTGATTTGAAAAATGACAAATTTTTCATCCTTGATTCATTAGCTGGGAAGTTATTTAAAGAGAAGAAGATGATGGCCGGATTTATGGTATGCTTTATTAGTGCTTTTGCATAACTACTTTAGGTTACTTAAATTTTTACATGGGATGGTTATCTAACTCTGGAACTATTTATAGAGAACTAGCATAATTGAGTTGTTACAAGCATGTGACCCGAAGAAATATGGAGAGGATTTTCAGATGGAGATGATATTTGAAGAACTTCCCAAACAGAGTAATGTGTAAGTAACTATCTATGAAAACAAGTACCTTTTAATGTATTCATTTCTAGTAGACAATTTGCCTTACCTTAATTGCTCATATTTGTAGAGATGATTGTGGGGTATATGTCATAAAGTACTGTACAGAATGGGATGGTAGAAGAAGAAAAGGAGGACTGACCATGGAGGACTTTTCAAACGTATGTATATGTGATCCATAATCTTTCTAATTTTTTTCTTCCAATTATCAATGTGAAACTTAAACTTTCTTTATGTTTTTTTAGGAACAACTGAGACAGTTTAGGGTGAATGTGGTGTGGTGGCTGGTAAATCACATGAGAAATGAAGTAAGAAATAAAGTATTTGCCTCTGTCTCAGCAGCTAATCGACCAAAGAGGGCAGGAAAGAAGTGTAGATGAATTTTTAGTCTGTGACATGTTTTCACCATTCTAATTTTGTAGAAATTGCCTCTTTCACAATTTTTTCCCTCACGTATTTTAGCTGAAGGTGGACTGTGTAATTTGTACAAGTGAGGATATACTCAATTGAATTTCAAGCTGTATCCAAATTTTAGGGCTTATAAGAATATTTTTACCAATACATTGCAAGGCGTATAAGAATAGAATTTTTGACTGCAAAATTAGGCTGGCCTTTATGGGATATGCTTGATTAATTTTGTATCCAAAACATGTTAGTTGATCAAAATTTGGTCACATACATGCATTTTACCTAACTGAATTATAATTTTGTGTAAACAAGATTGCCAACACCTCCATTTGGATTTTATATCACAGGTACAAATTAATACTTATTATTTTCAACAAATTAAAATAACATGTATTTCCTGCCAATTGATACAGCCGGGCTGCTATTTATATTACTTTAATCATATGGTGATCCAATTTAATGTAACAAATGAATCATGCAATTTTCTAAATAAAACACTCGGTGTGACTATCAAGCAAGCTGAACAAGCAACCAAATCAATTATATATAGCCAATGTCGCAACTGTGTGTCAAAATTTTGGGTGGGGTAAGTAATGAATTCTCAACAAAGTAATTATTTTAGGATAAAGTTCTAGTAATTTGCAAGTGAGAAACCAAATTTTGCAATGCCCTTAGAAACAATTTACAACTGGTACTCCAAATTTTGGATCGAAGAACTATTAAATTCATTGAAGAGTTAACTCCTTTAGGACAAAGCTCCAGTAATTTGCAAGTGAGAAACCAAATTTTGCAATGCCCTTAGAAACAATTTGCAACTGGTACTCTAAATTTTGGATCGAAGAACTATTAAATTCGTTGAAGAGTTAACTCCTTTAGGACAAAGCTCCAGTAATTTGCAAGTGAGAAACCAAATTTTGCAATGCCCTTAGAAACAATTTGCAACTGGTACTCCAAATTTTGGATCGAAGAACTATTAAATTTATTGAAGAGTTAAATCCTTTAGGACAAAGCTCCAGTAATTTGCAACTGAGAAACTAAATTTTGCAATGCCCTTAGAAACCATTTACAACTGGTACTCCAAATTTTGGATCGAAGAACTATTAAATTCATTGAAGAGTTAAATCCTTTAGGACAAAGCTCCAGTAATTTGCAAGTGAGAAACTAAATTTTGCAATGCCCTTAGAAACAATTTGCAACTGGTACTCCAAATTTTAGATCAAAGAACTATTAAATTTGTTTAAGAGTTAAATCCTTTAGGACAAAGCTTCAGTAATTTGCAAGTGAGAAACCAAATTTTGCAATGCCCTTAGAAACAATTTGCAACTGGTACTCTAAATTTTAGATCGAAGAACTATTAAATTCGTTGGAGAGTTAAATCCTTTAGGACAAAGCTCTAGTAATTTGCAAGTGAGAAACCAAATTTTGCAATGTCCTTAGAAACAATTTGCAACTACTACTCAAAATTTTGGATTAAAGAACTATTGAATTCGTGGAAGTATTTTGCAATTTAGACACCAAATTTTGCAAATTCCTTACGAAAAATTGGCAACTCGTACATGAAATTTTGGATCGTCGAACTAGAAGATATGAACTGTTCATGTAAGAAACACATATTAATTCATCTAATGCATCTGCACATATCACCTATCCACATACATAAAGGCATGAACTTGGATTTACAAACGAAGGGTTGCTATGTACCAAAAAAACCCCTAATACTACTAATATATATCTACATAAACCTATACATGTCAACCAAATCCAAGTTGATCTAGTCTCATATTATAGAAACATCAACTTGGATTTACAAAATAGGGGCTGCTATATGCCAAAAAAAACCCCTAAAACAACCATTATGTTTATATCACCCAAATCCAAGTTCATGTGGTAACCCATTTACAATAACATCAACTTGGATTTGGATTTCTACACCTCTTCCTCGTATGACTTGCTTTATGGCAGCGAGAACAATGATAAACCTTCTTTTGTTGATGTTGAGACTCGATCCTCACATGACGAGGTCTGCCAGCTGGTCGAGATGTTCTAGGAGGCAGCAAAAAGGTTTGGTTCATGAGCTGAGACACTGTCAACGTATTTGGCTTTGGCGTGTCATGGGTCTCAACAGGATGCATAATGCCACTGTATATTTTCTCTTGTGAGCTACGAAGATAACATTCCTCGACATAGTTATACACATTACCATGCACTTCTTTAATAGCTGCACAAGCATGTGGGTAAGGAATGCCAGACATTTGCCAAACTTTGCATGTGCATTCAGATTCACACATACATCTCCACACGGTGTCCGAACCAATGCAATATGTGAGCCATGTAGCTGAACTATCATAACTTCTGCCCTAAAAATATTTTCCTTCAACTTTGCTTCAATATTGGGACCAACTATGCTTTTCCACTTACTCATGGCTGCCTTACTTGCAAAAAATTTCTTGCTCAACTTGTCTCTATGCTCATTTACAAGAACACATATATTATGCCTCCTCTCCTCAAGAATCCATGCATTGAATGATTCGGCCAAATTGGTTGTTATCTTATCCCATCTTCGAAATGGGAACAACGATAGTGCCCACCGATCAATATCGCCTTAATTTTCAACCCATCTTGCTAATTATGGAGAGAACATCCTCAAATTTCCCATGGCTATATGAAATTCGTGCTCATGCCTTGCATAAGCAATGTAATCAAGCAACTTTAGTGCCTCTTCTTTGCTGTTCCTTCCCATTCCCCTACAAACTTTATTAAACTCAGAGCTAAAATTCTCCTTAACATGTTGATAGCAAAATGCATGTCTATCACCATCAAATATGGCTCTAACAGCACCAATAATAGCATTATTTCTATCAGAAACAATAGTTACCTGTAGCGAACCAAGGATATCTTTAATATTTTGAAGAAACCAAGTCCAATCATCATGAGTTTCACTCCCAACTATTGCAAAAGCTAATGGAAACAACTTATTATCGGCATCGTATGTTGAAGCTACCAGTAAGGTGCCTTGATAAGGATCACTAAGGAAACATCCATCCACATATAAAATTGGCCTAGCCCCAAGCAAGAATCCTTTAATGGAACAACCATATGCAATAAATAAACGTTCAAATCTATTGTTCTCAGAAGCCACCCATTTTGCTACAGTGCCAGCATCAGTCTCCATTAGTCTATTACACAACTAAGGAACAAGCATATATGATTGGTCAGGAAGCCCATTTATTTCCACCAATGCCCTCTCTTTTGCTCATAAAGCTTGACGATAAGTTAGACTTATGCCATAGTCTCTATATATGTCAGCTTTGATTTCATTGGGTCTTTTTTCCACATTAGACCTTACTACGTCATCAATTATAGACGAAGTCAGTGTGCACCTTGTACTGTAAGAAACTTCAAGGTCTTCTTAGGCAGAATGTAAGTGCTTATTCTTGAAAGTTGTTACACGAAGTAAGGGCATAGACTTCCTTAATGAATATGCTGTTATCTTCCATTGACATCCTTTTGCCTTGCAAACTGAAATTATTTTATTTGTGTTGTTCTTCACAAATTTATATTCAAACCTGTGTGCAATACTATACTTGTAGATTGCTTGTCTACAATCATCAGCACTCACAAAAATCTGTCCAGGTCCTACTAGCAAATCCTTCCACTTTATTGCATTTAGCTCAGGCATTGGTGTTGGGATACTTTGTATTGCACATGGTAGAACTTCAAGATCTTGTGTAGCATGTGAATTCTTAGCTAAACATCCTACTCTGCATTTTCATTCAAATCATGTTTATTACTACCATCCATATTTATATTAGCATAATATTAATTATGCAACTATTAAAAAAACTTACCCATCAATTGAATCTCTTGTTGCCTCTGTACTTTGCTGTATCTTCCCAATTATGTACACATGAGTAAAATTATCATTCAATTTCATTAATTGATTTATCCCTTCATCATCTTTAAGGTCTAAAAGAGCATTGCAATTAAATTTTACTTTGTACTTCAACTCTATTCCATTTAAATCACAATTTAAGCATGATGAAATCAATCTAACAAGTCCTTCAAGAGACATTCCTTCTCTAGTCATTCTTCTATTACAGCTCCCCCCATCATAACGCATTGTCCCATGCATATCTTTTACAATATCTCCACCAAAATGAAAATAACAAAAAATTTCCTTTACACAACTACTTTCCATCGTACCCAATAATATCAACCTACAAGAAACAAAATAAAATGTAATAATATATCACTTAGAAACAAGTTACTTTTGACATAAGTGATTTTCACATCAGTCAAACAGTGACAGCGTTCCATCTTAAAATATGGACACTCGATGATAATTCTTACACTTTCAGTTGCAAAATGTCGAATCTTCATGCCAACTATTTTATAACGTCAAATAAAAAAAATTCTTTCATGTTCAGTTGCAGAAAACCATTCCATCTTTTTCCTTACGAAAGCCATTTTGCAAGAAATTAGACCTTCATGGATTAAACCTTTTTGTTCAGATGAAAGGATTTGCAAAAAAAAAAAAAAATACCTGTCTACAAGCACCAGCATAAAACCTTAAGCTTCCTTGAGTCAATAATTAAGGCAACTCCACCTCTTCCAAGCATAACTCTGTTTCAGGAATGGGTACTCTTCAACGTACAGCTCCACCTCTTACATGCACCTCTCATTAATGGCGGGAAAGAGACAAATCGGGAGGGAAATGTTGGAGATGATGAGTGTACATGTTATATTTACTCATAGGGGCATTTTCATCATTTCTTTCGTAATTCTGATTGGGGAAAATTAACATGGGACTTGATTGGCCTTTTTAAAATTTGTTGGGACTTAACTGGTATAAAATTAGTCTTTTGGGACTTAATTGTCATTTTTCTCTTAAAATATGGAGTGTCCAAATTTAATTGAGATGATCCAAATTGGCCCTCATCTTAATAAAAGGCATAGAGAATAGGGGACTCAGCTACTGTGTCCCAAATAACATCTGGTAAACTTCCTCATTATCCTTGTTGACCAGAAAAAACACCTACGTCCTCTTTATATTTCCATCATGTTTTATAGTAGATTCAATCTTCTTCATCATGCTCTTTCTCCATCCATTGTCATTCTCCCACTACCACAAAAAAGAAAATATATGACACTTAAAAAATGATGGTTATTTGAAAAAACGTCATTTTAAGTTGATGTGAAGATAGGGCGAGAACAAATTTGGCGTTTGTTAACTTAACAATCAAATATTCTATCAATAAATTTAACCATTACATTCTATGACCGTCAAATCAGGTAAACAAATTTTTATTTTTTAATACTTCAAGTATTTATTTTACAGTTAGTTTATTCCACCGTCAAATTTTAGGGGCAAATTTAGTTGGCTTTAAATTTATCTTTCATTTCCTATTCCTTCAAGGCCTCAATCATTCCTAGAGCTGGTAAGCTCAACCTACCAACCCCCAAAATTGTGGCAGTTGAGTTTTAAAAAACGGGCTGATTAAAATGCGAGTCGAGTTAGGCCCGCACTGCATTGCTGAAACCTATAATGGGTTAACCCACGGGTAATGAGCCGCTTTTCTTTTTTTTTTTTTATTAAAAAAAAAGATGCAGGAAAACGCACTAACTGGCAACCTTGAACCCTCACGACACGATCACTCTGTCACTCTCACTTGGTGCCTCATCCGGATAGTCGCTCAACTTCTCTGTTCTCGCCTTCTCGCTATCGCTCGGTGCTCGCTTCCTTCTCGCATCTCGTTTGCTTGGTGCTCGCTTCCTCCTCACTTCCTTCTCGCTTCCCTTTATCAGATTGATTATAATCGTCCAATCCAAGACAAAGCTCTGTTCATGACTCAGCTTATCGGATTCTCCTGTAGCCGTCGTTGGTTTTCTGAACTCGTGCGCCAGGTTGGATCTTGCTCATGCAATCATGCTCAGCTTCCCTAATCTTGCCTTGGCTCAGCTCTTCTGTTCAAGCTCCTCATTAATTAAATCTGTTGCTCACCATCTTGCTCATGCAATCATGCTCACTGCTCAGGTTCGTCCCCTCATCTTGTTCCTTGCTCTCTGATTTGATTAATTGTTTTTTGTTCTGGAATCTGCAAATGATTGAATACCTCCTCGAGAGACTATTGAAGAGGCAACTAAAGTTGGTCCTTTGCGCATTTAATAATTTCTTTTTGAATAATATTCTCTTCCTAATGATAGTATAATTTACACATTTGACTTTTGCCTCTTCTGAAGCTAGCCGAAATCCTCATGCCAAGAAAGCAGGCATTGCTCACCCACTTGAATAGACCCAATTACTAAAGTTGCCTGGGAAAGAGGGCATTGCTCTCACACCATTGGTTCATTGCTTTGAAGGGAATTGAGGATTTCATGGGGCATTGATGAGTAGAGGCCATGCGTGTAATAGGAGAATCAGCTGTGTGAGCGTGAAAGTGCATTGAGTCGCTTTACATGATACAGTGTTGGGAACTTCATTTAGACGTTTTAAGTCTCCCACACATATAGGGAATAGTCAGGAACCACGCTACTTCACATTAGAAAACAACACCTATACGTTGCCTCTGTATTATTTAACTTTGTGAATTGGAAGGGGATTCAATTCATCCAGCGCAAAAATGTCTCGTTTTTTATTATTATTATTATTATTATTAATGAACTTTTCATTGGCATCTTGTACTCGTGCAGGGCACTTCTTATTGCTTTTTTTTTTTTCTTTTTTCTTTTTTCTCTCTGCTAAGGTATGGTGTTTAAAGAATCACCAGATTTGATGAGATGATAGCTTGGATATCTTCTTCAAAAATTTTATTGTTATTCTTGGTTGCTATGGCTATGAGAAACATTGATTACTTATAACCCGGATCTTTAGTTGTTTATTACCACTACAAATTAATGTTGAAGAGAGGTAGCATCAAAACTATATATTTATATATTTCTGGCTTACGTTTGACAGTAGAGGACCACGTCAAGATAGATCTCTTTCTACTTGGAAGTAGTCCATGGTGTCATGGTGTGCGTGGCTTTTTTTTTTTTTGGGTAGGAGTTGGGGGGAGTTTCTGGTAAAAGCTAATAGCTTCTCTTGTTGCTTCAACAATCATATTAGAATTTAGAGTCAGGTTTTGGGCTGTCCTTAGCTTGAACATTATTAGATATTAAAACAAAAGGAGTTAATTACACTACACGGAATGCAATTAATCAAATTGATGAAAAGTTAAGAAAATGCAAAATCACGTGACGAGTTAAAATGATCGGAGAAGGGCAGCATGTGTTTGCTAAAGGGAGAGAAGTGCTGTGGGAGTGGGAGGTGGGGAACCTTAGTGGAAACACTTCATTCTTTGACAGCGTGTAATCCATTTGATTATGCAGGAAAGTGACTGCTAAATGCCTGCTTTCACTACAAATCCATTTCATTAATTATTACTATAATTGTATTCTGTAGTTCTCATATATTATAATTTGATACAACTATTAGTTACTCTATATTCACACATTCTGCCAGGTTATGTCTGGCCATGTAATAATTAATGCTTTTCATATGAATCTGAGTTGTTTGGCTAGTTGGACTACAATAACTTCTAAAGGTTATCTTTGTTTAACTGCACATTTGTTGATGAGAAATGGAAACTTAATAGCAAAATTCTTGCATTTACAAAGATGAATCCTCCACACTCTGGGGCTGAATTAGCTAAAAAAGTGCATGAATGCTTGATAGATTGGGAGATTGAGAAGAAAGTGTTTTCCATCACTCTGGACAATGCTTTAGCAAATGACAATATGCAAGTTACATTGAAAGATGTGTTGAATTTACAAAATGGCTTGATATGTTAAGGAGAATTTTTTCATATGAGATATTGTGCTCACATCTTGAATCTTATAGTTCAAGAAAGCTTGAAAGTAGCAACTGATGCAATATATGAGATTAGGGAGAGCATTAGATATGTAAAAGCATCAGAGGCAAGGACGATAAATTTTAAAAAATATGTTCAAGATGGAGGGGATGACATTTCCATGGCCTTGAGGTTAGATGTCCCAACTAGATGAAATTCAACACATGCACTGCTTGAAAGTGTACTTAAATATCATCGTGCTTTTGTTAGTTTAGCTTTATGTGATACTAGTTTTAAATATTCCCTTACAAGTGAAGAGTGGTCTAGAGCAGAGGAGATGCGC